CTTGATCAGCCTGTTTGCACAGACAAGACAACAATGTATTTTCATGTGTTGTCCATAATCACAACCTTTAGCGTGGGTGGGTGGGTGTGTGTACTAGGGCTGTCCCCCGACCAAAAAAAATCGAAAATGTAAAATGTGTATTTTTTCATTCTGTGTCTTGAACTGCTGAACCGTTAATCAAATGGCTACCCGGACTATTTATATTGACCCCCCTTTTATTTTTACACAGACATTCTTGTAATGAGAGCAGTAACAGCAGCAAAGATCCAATGGGGTGTGATTGCAATTCGGTGCGTTCCTGAATGGATGAATATGACTCATCGTGTATGCGCTGTCGGTCAATGGACTACACACCTAAAGACTTACACAAACACTTAAGCCTTAATATGAATGCTTTCACTCTAGTGTTTCTGGAACCGTGATAATCATCAAAATATGAATTTGTGGGGTTTTATCGCTAACTTATCAGAACAGCAATGCATTGCACAATTGTGTAAAATGCTGAAGGAAACCATTGCGCGCACACACAAAACCTGGTTTTCACTATTTAACACAACCATAAAGTAATAACCCCCTGCCTATTTAAATGTACCAAAAACCAAATGTTTGTGTTCATGAATTCTTATGATAGCCAATTTAGACATTGTGGCTGTGTTATCTAGCTACGTGGAAACCACAAAACCCTTAAGCCCATTTGATAAACAGTGTTACTCATATTGATATCATTACTTAGCAACAGCTAATGTTACTGATGAATAGTCAGCTTAGTCTGTCTCGGTGTGCATTGTTTTGGGATTTTACGTTAGATGAGGCTTACAGCTCATAAAAATGTTGAAATGTTTTTTGACATAATTAATCAACACTAATCATGTTCATTTTAATGTTCATTTAATTTGATTAAAGCAGATAGTAACATATTAGAACACTTAGCCAGTAAACGAGTAACAACTTAACCTTTCTCTCTTCCTCCTGCCGACTAGATTTCCTGTTATTCGATGAATCAACAATGGAGTGTTATTACACTCAACTGATTCTTATTCCCATGTGGGAAATTATATACAAAAAAATAGCATGTATTGGTTCTTCTTCCTTATAGTAAGGTATATTATGTTGAGCCTTTTAAGGATTTGGCTGTGATTAGTATTAAACGTTTGTTTTTATGATCTGATCATTAATTATTCTCAACTTTGTATTAATAAATACACTAGATCTTGAATATACAGTACTTCCCTTGTATACTCTACCCACTTAAAGTTGAAATAAAACAAGTAAAATGTACAACTGAAAGTAAAGTTTTTCATGCCTTCAGAAAGTATTCACACCCCTTTACTTTTTCCACGTGTTACAACCTGACTTTAAAAATGATTACATTGAGATTTTGTGTCACTGATCTACACACACTACCCCATAATGTCAGTGGAAGTTTGTTTGTAGAAAATGTTTAGCAATTTATGTATTTTTTTACAATGACTGTCTTTAGTCAATAAGTATTCAACCCCTTTGTTACGGCAAGCCTAAATAATTTAAGGAGTAAAAATGTGCTTAACAAATCACATAAGTTGCATGGACTCATTCTGTGTTCAATAATAATGTTTAACATTATTTTTGAATGGCTACCCCATCTCTGTACTCATTCAGTGCTTATATATTTACAATGAATGCATTGATTTGTACAACAAGAGCCTTCAACAATGATAATTTATTTTAGTTGACTGTGCAAGCAGAACATTTTGGAATCATGATTACCTTTAGCTTATTTCCCTATTAGCTAACACACAGCTTATAAACAACAAAATTACCTTTGTTTTCTACAAGAAAATACACTACATTACCAAAAGTATGTGGACACCTGCTTGTCGAACATCTCATTCCAAAATCATGGGTATTAATATGGAGTTGATCCTCCCTTTGCTGCTATAACAGCGTCCACTCTTCTAGGAAGGCTTTCCACTAGATGTTGGAACATTGCTGCAGGGACTTGCTTCCATTCAGCCAGAAGAGCCTTAGTGAGGTCGGGCACTGATGTTGGGCGATTAGGCCTGGCTCGTAGGTGGCGTTCCAATTCATCCCAAAGGTGTTCGATGGGGTTGAGGTCAGGGCTCTGTACAGGCCAGTTAAGTTCTTCCACACCGATCTCGACAAACCATTTCTGTATGGACCTCGCTTTGTGCACGGGGGCATTGTCATGCTGAAACAGGAAAGGGCCTTCCCCAAACTGTTGCCACAAAGTTGGAAGCACAGAATCATCTAGAATGTCATTGTATGCTGTAGCGTTAAGATTTCCCTTCACTGGAATTAAGGGGCCTAGCCCGAACCATGAAAAACAACCCCAGACCATTATTCCTCCTCCACCAAACTTTTCAGTTGACACTATGCATTCGGGCAGGTAGCGGTCTCCTGGCATCCACCAAACCCAGTTTCGTCCGTCGGACTGCCACATGGTAAAGCGTTATTCATCACTCCAGAGAACGCATTTCCACTAATCTAGAGTCCAATGGCGGCAAGCTTTACACCACTCCAGCCGACGCTTGGCATTACGCATTGTGATCTTAGGCTCGGCCATGGAAACCCATTTCACAAAGCTCCCAATGAACAGTTATTGTGCTGACGTTGCTTCCAGAAGCAGTTTGGAAATCTGTAGTGAGTGTTACAACCAAGGACAGACGATTTTTACGCGTTACGTGCTTCAGCACTCGGCGGTCCGGTTCTGTGAGCTTGCGTAGCCTACCACTTTGCGGCTGAGCCATTGTTGCTCCTAGTCGTTTCCACTTCACAATAACAGCACTTACAGCTGACCGGGGAAGCTCTAGCAGGCAGGGGCGGTGTGTTCAATAGGGGGATATGGGCGACGCACTGCCAAACGGGAAAAGGAAGGGATTTTTTTTCTAATCAATTATATCACGGCAACAGTAGTTATCAGTGTTCTAATCTGATCTGACTGCCACTAAATGTCAAATCAGGCTAAAGTCGTGCTTCAAATGGCCCCGCCCGTTTTTGGGGCGATTTCAGTCATGTTGAAAATCGCCCAGAAGTCTGTCATAGACTCCCATGTAAAATCTATTTTTTTCAAATTTCAAAGCTTTCAATACAATCTCTATGGGTGTCTGTGGGCTTGCACTTACGCGCTTTCGTCATACGTGACGTAACCATGAACGTAACTAAGAAAATAGCGGCTAGCAGCGTCTCTGTTGCGACCTGCAGTGTGGCGTTATCTTATGTTTTTAATTTGTACACTTAGTGGCGTTATTTTATGTTTTTAATTTGTACACTTAGTTTACAAACATTCTGCCAACCATGGATTTCCAGTGGTGGGTTTTGGACTGATCTTGTTGATCGTGTACATACCCGCTACGAACGGACTAAATAATGAAAACGCTGCTGGCAGCGGAATCCAATACAGCTGGGAGACTTGGCTGGATGACAGAGTCCCGGACAGAGAAGTGGAGCCGGCCGGCTTCACCCTGGTCAGAGCGGACCGCGATCTGACACAGTCACAGGGAAAATCGATCCTGGTAAGAGAGCGACTCTGTACCCCCGACATTGAACTGCTTTCTGTGTCACTGCGACCTTACTATCTGCCCCGTGAGTTCCCCCAATTGTTTGTTACCGTTGTGTACTGTTGATAATCACAAGTTTACTGGAGAACTGAGACCAAGTAGAGACTTTGGACAGGGTGGATATGGTATAATAAAGGCAGTTTATTCAGAGGTAAAGATATCTGGAATCGCGTGCACGGACTCGTTCGTCAAACTCTTAGGGAGCTATCTGAAGAGAGCCCCGAAAACATTGTGTGCAGACATTTTATACAATAAATGATGTAGGTTGAATCTAGTAGTTCTGATCTTCTGATTGGTCCTGATGAGTTGGGCGAGGTCCCCTCCACTGTTGCATTGGCTCTGAGTCGGGTTCTCTGTCTTCAAATGTTCAGCCTAAAGAGAGGGGATTTTTGTGTGTGTGTGTGTGTGTGTGTTTAACAGTGATGATGTGTGTGTGTGTGTGTGTTATCAGTGATGATGTGTGTGTGTGTGTGTGTGTGTGTGTGTGTGTGTGTGTGTCCTCAGAGCAAGAACTCGTGAGTTGGAAGAACTGAGAGACCTATGGCGTGGGTGTTGTCCTTGGCCACCTGCTGACAAGGCTGACAAGATAGGACTCTTTTGTCCATTGTTATAGGATAGGAACAGCATTGATTGAAAACAAACGCCCAACACAAAATGGGTCATGCACAAGATTTTAGTCAGACCAAGCTATAACATTATATATTTACTACGACAGTACATTCAACCAAAAGCTAATATAACAAAGGCATCAGAGATTATTTATAATCTGTCACAGAAACTGGAATCCATCTCCCCAGATCAGTCAATAAATGCTTCTGGTATTGACTTATATGCTGCCCCTGTCTTCATGTTGTTGCTGGACATATCTTTTTTAAAATGTGTGTAGGTCACCTAAATCATCAGAAAAATTGCCCCTCCTGAGAATTTTTTCAGGAGCCGCCACTGCTAGCAGGGCAGAAATTTGAGGAACTGACTTGTTGGAAAGGTGGCGTCCTATGACCGTGCCACGTTGAAAGTCACTGAGCTCTTCAGTAAGGCCATTCTACTGACAATGTTTGTCTATGGAGATTGCATGGCTGTGTGCTCGATTTTATTCACCTGTCAGCAACGGGTGTGGCTGAAATAGCCAAATCCACTAATTTGAAGGAGTGTCCACATACTTTAGTTTATAGTGTATATCTTACAGTATAATGTGAAACGCATCAAATAATTAAGCTCTTTGCCAATGTACATATCTCTAGCAAGAACATAGTAATTTAAATTAAGAACATTACAGCAATCATACAAAAAGAACAATGTTTACCTTGACATAAACATTGAAACAGTATCGTATGTATAATACTGAATAACTTTGGTCACATTTGATCAAACATCAATGTCCATGAAACATCTATTTTTGAAAAAGTATTTCAGAAGTGGCTTGAAAAGAGTTTCTCAACTCCTTTAGCCTGCTTCTGACTCTGACACATCCTGTTTCTCTTTTGGTCCCTCCCCTACCGCCTCACTGCTAGTTGGGAAGCCATTGTTTTCTGTCTGAATGTCGTCAAGGAGAGGTTTTGACTCCACTGCTCCACTCTCAGGCTCTCTCTCAGGCTGTGGCTGCTTCTCTGATATGTTAGCACAGATGTTTTTAGGCTGAGCAGCGTCATCTTGCTCACTCTGTTCCCCTTCATTCTCACCTTCCTGTGCGTTATCAACAAACCTTTTTCTCTTGAAACATCCCATCTGAGAAGAAAGGAAAAACAATGTGAAGAATGTGAATCAAAGTGTTGGTCCTTTACAATGCAGAAGCAAAGGCTCTGTCGCAGCATTGGTACTCACCATGTACATGGCCACTGTGACGATGATCAGGAGGAAGATTCCTACTCCAACTCCTGTCCCTATTATCAGCTGTCTATGTGGAGGAATGATGATCTCAGCCTGAACATCAATCTGGAGGAATTCATTTTGAGACCATGAGTGACGATGGAACAAGCATTTTAAAAACAATTATTATACAGTAAATCAGTTTAATTCCACCAACGGAATTACCTGTGTTTGGTGGAAGCTCGTAGAGTTATCCTAATGAGCAAAGAAATAAATACAAAATTAATGCTTTTGTGAATCTTTGCTCAATAAATATTTGTATCTTTGTTGAAGAAAGTTTTTTTTACAGGAAACATACCCCTTGGTCACTCGCTGTCTGGACATATCGTTTTTTGTCAAAGCTGAGTTTGACAAAACTGATGAAATTGACTGTTTCTCTATCTCCAGTGAATTTCTTTGGCAATGACATGCTCTGTAGAGTGAGATATTGTTAGTAGAACTAGATGGTAATTTTACATGAAGTAAAATTGTGTGCCTTGCATCAGTTCTTTAAAAGTATTTTGTGGTAGTAGAAGAAGTGTTCTGATTTCAGATTTAAATAGCAGAGAAGTAAGACAAAGCTCTACATTTTTGTCTAACTTGTTGGGAAAGTGGTCAAGACAAGAAGTAGTTGATGTAGTTACTAGAACAGCTGTCTGACTTCAGATTTGAATAGCAAAGAAGTAGACCAATATGTCATAACTTCTAAATTGTGGTATAAAATGCTCGGAAAGTGGTCAAAATTTCAGTTGTTTGTAAAAGTTGACAGAAAATGTAGTCGATGCAGTAACAAAGCTACATCGTTTGATTGGTAGAGGATATTTATGTTCTGATTTTACATACGAAAAGCAGAGAAGTAGACCAAGTTTTTGTCTAAGATGTTGGGAAAGTAACTGATTTGTCAGTCACCGTTTACTCATTGTCTCATGCTTAGAATGTGTTCACCCAGTGCTATAATTTATGTAAAAAAAACAAAATTATACCCCTTTTTCGTGATATGCAATTGGAAATTAGTCTTGTCCCATCGCTGCAACTCCTGTACGGACTTGGGAGAGACGAAGGTCGAAAGCCATGCGTCCTCCGAAGCACGACCCCCCTGCCAAGCTGCACTGCTTATTGACACACTGCTCGCTTAACCCGGAAGCCAGCCGCACCAATGTGTTGGAAGAAATGGCGACCGTGTCAGCGTTCAAGCGCCCGGCCTGCCACAGGAGTCGCTAGAGCGTGATGGGACAAGGACATCCCGGCCGGCCAAACCCTCCCCTAACCCGGACGACGCTGGGCCAATTGTGCGCCGCCTCATGGGTCTCCCGGTCGCGGCCGGCTGCGACACAGCCCGGGATCGAACCCGGATCTGTAGTGACGCCTCTAGCACTGCGATGCAGTGCCTTAGACCACTGCGCCACTCGGGAGGCCCCAGTGCTATAATTTGAAAGTTCTATGGCAGTTAATAAGCTATGCAAGTGACACACTCCTACGTCATGCTTCCGTGTTCATGTCCCTGGTCTTTTGCATGGGCTTCAAGTTTATATAATAAAATCAGATGCTTTTTATGACGTTTTTGCGCTGAAGACTATTGCGCTACGATTTTGCACATTGAAGAGCATTCAAAAAGCCTACGAAAGTTCATGAACTAGTAGGCTACTTGCCGCGTCTCTTGCATGGCGTATTCAACAGTGGGAAGTTAGCTTAATGAGATGCGGTTATTAAAACATCTGTATCTCTTGATTTGTATAATAGAATGTTGGAATTCATGGGAGTCTGTAACAATGGAACCTTTAGAATGTTGAAGAAATCCCATGGAAGTGGATGGAGGACAAAAAACTCAAGAGTTTAAAAAGTATAACATACAGTGCCTTGCAAAAGTATTCATCCCCCTTGGCGTTTTTCCAATTTTGTTGCATTACAACCTGTAATTTTTAAATTGATTTTTATTTGGATTTCATGTAATGGACATACACAAAATAGTCCAAATTGGTGAAGTGAAATGAAAAAAATAAATAACAGAAAAGTGGTGCATGCATATGTATTCACCCCTTTTGCTATGAAGCTCCTAAATAAGATCAGGTGCAACCAATTACCTTCAGAAGTCACATAATTAGTTAAATAAAGTCCACTTCTGTGCAATCTAAGTGTCACATGATCTGTCATGATCTCAGTATATATACACCTGTTCTGAATGGCCCCAGAGTCTGCAACACCACTAAGCAAGGGGCACCACCAAGCAAACGGCACCATGAAGACCAGGCAAGGAGGGCATTAATCAGAGAGGCAACAAAGAGACCAAAGATAACCCTGAAGGAGCTGCAAAGCTCCACAGCGGAGATTGGAGTATCTGTCCATAGGACCACTTTAAGCCGTACACTCCACAGAGCTGGGCTTTACGGAAGAGTGGCCAGAAAAAAATGTGGTGTTCGCCAAAAGGCATGTGGGAGACTCCCCAAACATACGGAAGAAGGTACTCTGGTCAGATGAGACTATAATTTAGCTTTTTGGCCATCAAGGAAAACGCTATGTCTGGCGCAAATCCAACACCTCTCATCACCCCGAGAACACCATCCCTAGGTGAAGCATGGTGGTGGCAGCATCATGCTGTGGGGATGTTTTTCATCGGCAGGGACTTGGAAACTGGTCAGAATTGAAGGAATGATGGATGGCGCTAAATACAGGGAAATTCTTGAGGGAAACCTGTTTCAGTCTTCCAGAGATTTTAGACTGGGACGGAGGTTCACCTTCCAGCAGGACAGTGACCTTAAGCATACTGCTAAAGCAACACTTGTGTGGTTTAAGGGGAAACATTTAAATGTCTTGGAATGGCCTAGTCAAAGCCCAGACCTCAATCCAATTGAGAATCTGTGGTATGACTTAAAGATTGCTGTACTCCAGCAGAACCCATCCAACTTGAAGGAGCTGGAGCAGTTTTGCCTTGAAGAATGGGCAAAAACCCCAGTGGCTAGATGTGCCAAGCTTATAGAGACATACCCCAAGAGACTTGCAGCTGTAATTGCTGGAAAAGGTGGCTCTACAAATCATTGACTTTGGGGGGGTGAAAAGTTATGCACCCTCAAGTTCTGTTTTTTGTCTTAGTTCTTGTTTCTTTCACAGTAAAAAATATTTTGCATCTTCAAAGTGGTAGGCATGTTGTGTAAATCAAATGATACAAACCCCCCAAAAATCTATTTTAATTCCAGGTTGTAAGGCAACAAAATAGGAAAAATGCCAAGGGGGGAGAATACTTTCGCAAGCCACTGTATATCAATAAGTTGCATGCAAGCACACTGGTCCTGACGACTCTGCACGTTTTAAAGTTTGAATGGCGTTTCTAGCTTAAATGGTGTATCATACTAAAAAATAATAAGAAGTATGACAAAGATTTCAAGTGGGATGTTTGCTGTCCCAAAGTCTCATGAATTATTAGCATGTTGTTACTCTGTACCATCATTTGTTAAACTTGTCTTAATACAGACCCTTGCATGTTGATCGAGGTCCTTGAAGGAAACATTTCCAGACAGCACAAATGTAACTGTCGAAAACTTCTCCAAAAGGAAACTTTCACACTCGATGGACTTGCAGTATTTTTCTGGAGAGCAGTACTGTAAACACAGCCAGAAGCAAAATGTGTGTTTCAGTAACATGATTACTATACTGAGTTGTAACCTGATTGGATAGGTTACCAACAATGTCAAGAGTGAGTGGCATATTTGAATACTCACCTCTGTTGTTGAATTCATAACCTTTCCACATTGAGTATGGTTCTTCAAAGAAAAGAAAGGAAACTTGTAATAGGATATTTCTTACTGAAAGAAATTGTGGCAGTAATATGTCAGCATTTTTGTACGAAATGTGAACAGTTTACCTGTGAGACAGATATTTGGTAGTCCTTCATTTCAAATTTGTGCTCAAGCTTAGTTGGGAATGTGAAGGTGACTGTGATGGGTACAGACTTAGAGTCCAAGTTCTGCACCTGTAAACAGTGACACATTCAATCAACCAACCTAACAATAACATTTATATTGAGATTTTATACAAAGGCATTTCTCACAGAGCGTGTAACAAAACATATACCTAAACCCCCAAAAGAGCAAGCCTAGGGCGACAGAGACAGTGGAGGCTGCTGAGGGGAGGATGTCTCTCATAATAATGTCTGTAACGGAGCAAATGGAATGGCATCAAACACATGGAAACCAAGTGTTTGATGTATTTGATAGCATTCCACTGATTCCGCTTCAGCCATTACCACGAGCCCATCCTCCCCAATTAAGGTGCCACCAACCTCCTGTGGACAGATAATACGTTTATATGCACACTAATAATTCAATATTAAACTGATTATGGAAATTAGTCATGTAAACACCTTTCTCTGATTATCTTAATCGGCGTAAGGTCATGAGCGAAGTAAGCACCTCGATTTTATTTGCAATCTTTTGAAATTATTGGAACATGTAAACGCATTTAAAGGGATACTGTGAGAGAGCAATGCTACCGTACCTGTAGACTTCCATTCATTGCGCTAGCTAACGCTAGTTAGCATTGGCTCGCAAAACAACCACTAACTTCCTTCGTACTGCACGCAGAGACATAAAAATGATTTACACAAGTTCATCCGACTCTGGGGAAGTAGAACAGTATCCCTTTAATGGTGTATCTGTATCCTGCAGTGTGTCTGATCTGCGCATTTGTTATCATGAGCAACGTGAGCCTCCCTCTTTGGCGCGAGTGACGCGAGTCCAGAAAATACTAAAGTATGCATCTTAGTATTACTTTTCACATACAAACTTTATACACTGAGTACAAAACATTAAGGACACCTGCTCTTTCCCTGACATAGACTGACCAGGTGAATCCAGGTGAAAGCGATGATCCCTTATTGATATCACTTGTTAAATCCACTTCAATCAGTGTAGATGAAGGGGAGGGGACAGGTTAAAGAAGGATTTTTAAGCCTTGAGACAATTGAGACATGGTTTGTGTGTGTGCCATTCAGAGAGTGAATGGGCAAGACAAAAGGTTATAGTGCTTTGAATGGGGTATGGTATTAGGTGTCAGGTGCACCGGTTTGTGTCAAAAACTGCAACGCTGCTGGGTTTTCACGCACCACAGGTTCCTGTGTGTATCAAGAATGGTCCACCACCCAAAGGACATCCAGCTAACTTGACACAACTGTGGGAAGCATTGGAGTCAACATGGGCCAGCATCCCTGTGGAACACTTTTGACACCTTGTAGAGTCCATTCCCCGACGAATTGAGGCTTGTTCTGAGGGCAAAAGGGGGTACGTGCAACTCATTATTAGGAAGGTGTCTTTAATGTTTTGTACACTCAGAATCAAATGGGCTTCCCAAAAATGATATGATCGCTGTGATAGAACGTTATTTTGATTGCCGATTTTCTGAATTTTTCAAAGTCCCATCAGGTAGCCTGATTATCAGCTGTCCATGTAAAACAGATTGTAAGGGAAATTGTTATTTTTGCAATGCATTTAAATGTTTTAATCAAGCTATTATATTAATCAGAGTGTTCACAATAATCTTATTATTGAATGCATGTAAATGGCTTGAGTAACAATAAAATAATGTTTTGTTTTTAGAGTATAAAGACAGCACATTTCCCTCACATAGTGTGAATCACAATTTCAAGATCAGTCACAGCATTAGCAGTCGATTGTTTGTTTACCTCATACACATTCACCAGTTTTTTGGGTGATGTATCCTCCAGAGTAAAGTTAATGTAAGTAGTGGAGTCTTCGGGAAGGCTTCAACAAAAAAAATATATAAGTCATCTTGATTTTATTCAATTAACTTGATGGAGTCATTCTCAAACAAAATGTCAAGTATTATAAAAACGTACGCTTTTGCAGCCAGGTCAACTGCAAATTGAACAGGGATGGTCCTGGTTAGGGAACTATTGGTTGAGTTTCCATTGTCGCTGTAAATAAAGCAAAGGCAAATGCATTTTTAGTGTACATAAATGGAATGTTATGAAGTCCTTCAGCTAATTGAGTAGAAGGTATTGAGGTTGTATTAAACTAGCTCTTAGTTTTAAGCAATGCCCTGGACTGATTCTAATTTCTCGTCTAGCTACTTCTCTAACATATTCACATTGAAAGCAGATTTCTACCTCAGGCCTATGACGGTCATTTCCATTGTGTCATTCCAGTCGTATGTATTCAAAATATGGAATTTACTGGTGAACACTGCCTAAAAAGGAAGATGGCATAGTTGAGAAGAAAAAATAAAGATTATTTGAAATTAGATCATAAAACTGTGGAAGTGGAAAAAAATGTACAAGGCATGGCTTCAGAAAGTATTCAGACATCTTGACTTTTTTCACATTTTGTTACAGCCTGAATTCAAAATTGATTAAATGTTATTCCTCACAAGGCATATATCACTCAAAGATCAAAGCTGTTTTAATGACATTGAGTTACTGCTTTGTCACTGCTTTTAGCTCTGAGTCTTTATCATCTAATGACAACATTTTAAAAGCTTTACCGGTGTATTCACAGTAGAGCATTATTTACTGGTATATCTAAGTAATCACTCACTGTAGTTTTACTACGGTAGACAGGTATGCTGACACTGCATGTAGTTCTGTCCATTTCACCTTCCAGACCACCACAGCTGAACACAGTTCTCCTTGTGGACTATGGAATACAGACAATATGTAAATAATTGAGTCACTGACATAGTCTAAAATAAACAAACGAGCATGTTAACAGTTTAAGGAATTAATAAATTCAACACTTAATATGTTGCTACATTTGAATAATCAGCACATGTAGTGTACATTTAAATGTTTGGCGGCAAACTGATGTTTAAATCAATGTTCTTCTATCCTGCTTCTGCAGACCCACAAGATGAGCAAGGCAAGCTTTTGTTCCAGCCCAGCACGAACACTTCCTGATTAAACTAATCATCAAACCCTTGATTGGCTGAACATGTTTTAGGTCTCCAGGATGGAATAACACTGGTTTAGATGAGAGCAAGAAGAAAACATCAGAATGAATTACACAATAGATGGAGGGGTGTCGGTTTTACCTTCAGAAGATGCATCATGGAGAATGAGAGGCCAGGAGGGTAGAGGAGGGTTAGACTAGTGTTGAAGGAGTCATCCCCATGATTGGACAGTCTTATAGTCACATTAAAGTAACTCTGGTCCACCACTAATAAAGTTGAGGTTCTGATAAGAGACAAGACCTTACAGTCAGAAAACATGCTTTTTTTTATCCGTCAGAAATTATTATACCTACAAACAAGTTACTTTATGTTGCCTCTGTTTATCAGATACTTACATAAAGTTGAAGTCCACCTCAAGCTCTGCCACACAGGTTTCATTTTCTTTGCAGTTCTTTTCAAAGGGTACCTATGACGAATTCAAGACAACTGTGAATGTGTTTAGATTACCTGTTTTCACAGGTCTTTGGCTAAATTACAGTACTCAGTCCGCAGTCATTGCAATTACTGTTGATCATTGTAAGTGAACAGGTTTTAGTCAGACACAGAATGTTCCCTCGTACCTCGACCACAGCCTGTGTGGGACTGTCAGTATTCAGAATGGCAGTAGGACCCTCTTGTTGGCTTTCAGATTGAGAAAAATTAAGTTGGATGATAATGGGCGATAATGTGTCGATCACGCATTGCTGGAAGAAAAGACAATGTGGCATTCATTTCCCTATCCATAGTCATGCAAAACCCAAATTCTTCTCATCACTGAATAAGATCGACACACACTAACAATTCAATAATAATTAAACAACCTAACAACTTGTTAATCATTAAATCCCCTCCCTAGGAGATACATGACAGTTGTTGTATTGTTGCATAGCTACAGTTTCTTATTGATCATACTGTCATGTAGACTGAGTGGTTGAAGCAGGTCCGCTCCTTTCTCAGCTCCACAGTAGAGCGAAGTCTTCTGGCCCCTTTGTTCGTGTCACTGTAAAAGGCTCGGCTCCTCTGTCTCACTGGATCCACAACCAGCGAGTAGGAGACGTTCATCCCTGCACTCAGCGCTCCTAGAAAAGTACACAATAAATCTTAAATGGCCACCTTATCAGGGAGAGAAGTTCTGAACCTCATGGTTGCCTGCTGATGGACAGCATTGAAGTAGAAAGCAGAGATGGAGTCAAGACCTTAACTCTTGAGACCCAGATCCAGACCAAGGTCCAAACCTTTCGATACACTAGGACTTCATCTGGGTCTTCACCACAGGTTGGTGGCACCTTCATTGGGGAGGACGGGCACGTGGTAATGGCTGGAGTGGATAGGTGGAATGGTATCAAACACATGGTTTCTATGTGTTTGATGCCATTCAATTTGATCCGTTCCAGACATTATTATGAGCCATCCTCCCCTCAGCAGCCTCCATTGGTCTTCAGACAGGGAAGAGACCAAGACCCACTTATGGTGGTCAGTGATTTAGCTATGCACCGAGGCTCTGACCTAGACCACCAAGGCCACAATTATGTGGTCTTAGATCAAGACTCCATTTCTGTTGGAAAGCAAAAAGCCATCAGTGTTGCAAAAGTTCTGAGAGATCTTACCAGCTTTACTCTTTGTTGCCTCTGCCATGTTAAAGCAGGCTGTTAAAGTGACCACAGGGGAAATGGTCTCTCTTGCAAGACAGTCAAAGTTATCAGTGTTGATCTCCGAGGGATGGAAATGGAGATGAGTGGACACGCTGAGGACCGGTCTGGACCTGTGAGCGATTGAGATAAAGATTGGGATGTTAGCCTACATTGTATGATGTTGGGTAGCTACGCCCACACCTCATTGAGCGCAGCCCCCATTCAGGGTGGATCGCACACTAGTGGGATATTTTTACTGGTTAAACAATTGTCAGTTTAAACCAGCTGTCTTTTCTTATCCTTTTTATGGACTCATACCTCAAGACGACAACTGCGCCACGCGCTCCTACTACGATGTCAGTCAGTCCATCCTCACCCAGGTCCATCTTCCCATCAATCGTCTGGCCAAAGAACTGGAGCTTAGATCTTATCACCGCAGCTGAGATGTGCTGCAGTAAGAAGACATACACATTTAACAAAAAGGCATTGATATTGATATCCCAGGAGGGATGTCTGTTTTCTTTGAGCATGAAGAGCCTCTTTGAATGATATACATCTTTGTCTGCCTCACCTGGCTGAATTCAGGGCGGATCCCCCTTAGCTTTTCACCCAGGTAGATGTACACGGCCCCCCTGCTGATCGTCCTCAAGTGGAGCGCCCACAGCTACATCCTTCAGGCCATCTCCATTCAGGTCTGTGAGAGAGGAGATGGAGGAGCCAAATCTACCCTGAGACGGCACTGACACATTCATCTCCATCCTCAGTTCCAACTAAGAAAGGAAGGGTGAGGAGAGATCACATGAAGATCAATCCGAATTATACTGTCTTTTGTGCAGTATTATTGAAGATGATGGATATTCATATCCAAATGAATCCATTTCGGCTTCCAGATCACTTTGTCCCTGATGAACATATTCAACCACAAATTGCAGCATTTGAATCTGTTGTTCAGAGATTCCCAGTTAAGCCCACCTTATCAGTCAGTGTGTAAACGTAGATCCTGCCCTCTCTCGGAGGTTGGTGAAACATTGGTGCACCCACCAGGAGGAAGTCTGTGTTGCTGTCTGAGTCTATGTCCACAGAACACAGCTCTGCCCCAAAGTAGGAGCCCATCTGAGAACATCAAAACTTACATTCATACAAAAATAGTTTTGAAATGTTTGAAGACGCCATATGGTTTTGAATGAAACTCGTAAGTAAATATAAAAAGTGATATAATGTAACTGTGTTCCTCTTTACTATGGGAGTAGTGATTCAACCTTTGAAGTAACCCCAAAAGCTAGTTTTATGGTGTCCCTCCTGTATGATATAAACTTGATTGATATACCACACTGCTTAAAGAAATAGCTAATGTTACCAACCTGTTCTCCAGACAATCTTTGTGCCACAGTCCAGTTGTTGTTAACCTTGTTAAAAAGTAGGATCCGTCCCATGTGTTCAGATCTTGGTGCTCCGGTAAAATATAGAAGGTTCTCTTTCTTCTTCCCAACAGCTACAGAATATCCTATGAGAACAATAAAGCAATGTGGATCCATTGTAACTACACTCCCTTCACTGAAACATCTGAACTAATGGAGCCTTGAAATTAGTGTTTGTTCAAATTCACTTTTGAGCAATATTTTTTTTTTGCTTAATGTTCCATTACCCATATATGAGTCTTTGTCCAAGGTGGGGTCCTGAATTTCCTTTTCCTCTGATCTCAGACCCTCAGTCTCAAAGAGGGATCCACGCCAGTTGTTTGATCCCACTGAGCCCAAAACCAAGGTGTCCTGTAGAGGAAATAAAACATTAATAAGCATTAATCAACTAAACTCAGCAACAAAAAAAAACATCCCTTTTTCAGGACCCTGTTTTTCAAAGATAATTCGTAAAAATCCAAATAACTTCACATATCTTCATTGTAAAGGGTTTAAACACTGTCTCCCATGCTTGTTCAATGAACCATAAACAATTAATGAACATGCACCTGTGGAACGGTCGTTAAGACACTAACAGCTTACAGACGGTAGTCAATTAAGGTCACAGTTATGAAAACTTAGGACACTAAAGAGGCCTTTCTACTAACTCTGAAAAACACCAAAAGAAAGATGCCCAGGGTCCCTGCTCATCTGCGTGAATGTGCCTTAGGCATGCTGCAAGGAGGCATGAGGACTGCAGATCTGGCCAGGGCAATAAATTGCAATGTCCGTACTGTGAGACGCCTAAGACAGTACTACAGGGAGATAGGACAGACAGCTGATCATCCTCGCAGTGGCAGACCATGTGTAACAACACCTGCACAGGATCGGTACATCCGAACATCACACCTGCAGGACAGGTACAGGATGGCAACAACAACTGCCCGAGTTACACCAGGAACGCACAACCCCTCCATCAGTGCTCAGACTGTCCGCAATAGGCTGAGAGAGGCTGGACTGAGGGCTTGTAGGCCTGTTGTAAGGCAGGTCTTCACCAGACATCACCGGCAACAACATTGCCTATGGGCACAAACCCACCGTCGCTGGACCAGACAGGACTGGCAAAAAGTGCTCTTCACTGACGAGTCGCGGTTTTGTCTCACCAGGGGTGATGGTCGGATCACGAAGGAATGAGCGTTACACCGAGGCCTATACACTGGAGCGGGATCGATTTGGAGGTGGAGGGGCCGTCATGGTCTGGGGCGGTGTGTCACAGCATCATCGGACTGAGCTTGTTGTCATTGCAGGCAATCTCAACGCTTTGCGTTACAGGGAAGACATCCTCCTCATGTGGTACCCTCCCTGCACGCTCATCCTGACATGACCCTCCAGCATGACAATGCCACTAGCCATACTGCTCGTTCTGTGCGTGATTTCCTGCAAGACAGGAATGTCGGTGTTCTGCCAAGGCCAGCGAAGAGGCCGGATCTCAATCCCATTGAGCACGTCTGGGACCTGTTGGATTGGCGGGTGAGGGCTAGGGCCATTCCACCCAGAAATGTCAGTGAACTTGCAGGTGCCTTGGTGGAAGAGTGGGGTAACATCTCACAGCAAGAACAGGCAAATCTGGTGCAGTCCATGAGGAGGAGATGCACTGCAGTACTTAATGCAGCTGGTGGCCACACCAGATACTGACTGTTACTTTAGATTTTGACCCCCCTTTTGTTCGGGCACACATTATTCAATTTCTGTTAGTCACATATCTGTAGAACTTGTTCATTTTATGTCTCAGTTGTTGAATCTTGTTATGTTCATACAAATATTTACACATGTTTAGTTTGCTGAAAATAAACGCAGTTGACAGTGAGAGGACGTTTCTTTTTTTGCTGAGTTTATATATTGCGTCCATAAACTAGTTGCAATGGTGGTCAGTACATTTATAAAAATGTTAAGATGATGATAAAACATAGTGGACATACTATCGCGATATCTCACCTTATTAATGTAGACAACACTGAACCCACTCTGAGACATCTCTTTAGTCAAGTTTCCAGCCAGAGCAGTCTTGGAACCTAGAACATACGGACACTGATATTAATAGCGATACATTGATACTTCTACTGTGGAATGTTTTGAGTAAGGTGTTATCACCAGAAATAAATACCAGTACATTTCAGGAGATGACCAGTATTGCCACTTCAGGAATCTTACGGAAGTATTTTATATGAATAACAACCCTCACTTGACAGGGACTTTGCTGAAAAATAAGTAAGTAGTACTAAGAGATTTCAACTGAATCCGGAGTTGTACCTTCAATATTGAAGATCTTTTTTTGAAAGTTGTCTAGGATTCCCTTTAGTCCGTTGTAGTCCTGGATGAGGAAAGTGTTGTTCTCTTTTGGCTCTGATGCCAGGGACTTCAGTTTCGTCAAATTGACATTCTTGACCTGCCAAGAAATATATCACTTGAGGGCAGGAATTATAAGTCTAATTTCCTTTTCAATATGAAAGATATTTAAACATCCACATCGTAACTGGGAAGTTGGACTGGACCCTTGAGTCTAGTAATAACAATAATAATATGAATAATAAAAACTCTATTTGTATAGCGTTTTTCAATACAAGTAACAAAGTGCTTCACATCATAAAATAAAAGTACTAACAAAGTAACAAAGACAGGAGGAAGGAGAATAAAAAATAAATAAATATCTCCTTTCATTTTCAACCTAGACTATGGAATGGTCAACAGTGCCCTGTCAGAGGATCTCAGGCTGTGTCCTGGCTCATAGGTAGATAACATTTACATTTTTACATTTTAGTCATTTAGCAGACGCTCTTATCCAGAGCGACTTACAGTTAGTGAGTGCATACATTATTATTTTTATTTTTCATACTGGCCCCCCGTGGGAATCGAACCCACAACCCTGGCGTTGCAAACGCCATGCTCTACCAACTGAGCTACATCCCTGCCGGCCATTCCCTCCCCTACCCTGGACAACGCTTGGCCAATTGTGCGCCGCCCCATGGGTCTCCCGGTCGCGGCCAGCTACGACAGAGCCTGGATTCGAACCAGGATCTATAGTGGCACAGCTAGCACTGCGATGCAGTAAAATATCTAAGAAACGGAATGGGGCTTAACCAAGCCTTAAAGATGGAATCCTTAGTTCTCCTTCCGCTAAAGGCATACGCAAAGCCTAAAATCAAGACTAGACATTGACAGCTCTCTTACACCTGCACAAAGGATGTGACGGAACACACCTGACTAACCAGAAACACCTCTCAATCCAATTGTCCCAATACTTTTGGTGCCCTGAAATATGGGAACTTCTGTATGTATAAAAAAAGGCATTGTAAGGTAAACTAAAGTTGCCAAATAACTATAAATCTAGTTTATAGGACATGTTTCAAATGATCACTTTTAAGCTCAACATAGTCACTTCATATGCGCACTCTCGCTCTGGAATGGGAAAAATATCCTTTCTATTTTAATTAGCTAAGTTCAATTATATTCTTCTTACTATAAAATGGCAAGGGACTTATAAGCATATCTTGTCTGGTAAATGGACAAGCCTACAGCCTATAGCATACAGTAGGCCAACTCCTATTCTGTTATTCTGAAATACATTTTCTTCATATCATAATGTTTCTTTAGACCTGACTAAATAAATAATGGATTTATTGTGATGGTGTATATTTCATTGATTTATTAGCCTTTTTAAATGTAAATTTTCCAAAGGCGCGCATTAGCGGCTTGTATATGGCTTGTATGTGGGGAGGCCTGGTGATGCTAAACATGTTTATTTTAATTAACGGTCAATTATCATGAGACCGGCAGTTTTTTGCATGACAATATCTGTCAGACAAAATTTAATGACCGCAACAGCCCTTCATTATTGACTTTCAATAAACCAAGTTTTCGTGCTGTTAAGTGAGCGGAAGCCCGACTGGCACCAACAATATGCTCAATTGTCTTAAACAGAACTTTCGAGTTGTGGGAGTTCTCAGAGATCAGGGTAGAGAAGTAGTTTGCTCTTGCATCTTTAACCACAATATTGTAATTTCTCATCAGATCCTTCATTATCTCATAGAATACTTTAACAGGCTTTCCTTTTACGTTCAGCATTTAAAAAAATACTTTTTAAGGCACGAGTGTGGTCATTTAACCAAGGTGAGACTCTGGCAGACAGTTTATTCTTGGTTTTAACTGCTACCACTGAGTCTAAAGTAGCCTGACATACAGTATGTAATTGAAACTGTTAAGCAAATCATCAGTGTGATGACAAATAATCTTTACTAGAGGATCAAAAAGCATTTGTAAATTGATGAGAATGAGAATGACAGATCTATAACACACATTTCTATGTGTAATTGGTTGGGTCACCCAAAAAGTTATCTACATTGGAGCTTTAAAAAAGCCAGTGTATTATTTGGGCAACAAACATGAATGTAAGCAGCATACATTGAAATCATACATTAAAAGCACTAACACTGGTATACACTGGTGATCACCTAGTCGAAACGGCCATATGCCAAAATCTTTGCACCTCGGTGAACTTCAAGTGAAACGATTTGAAAATGTACCTCAATCCAGGGAGGGAAGGTGTTGCTGTACTCCTAATTACCCCACAACAATTTAGGGTAAATGGAGAAGTAAAATACTGCTGCTTTAGCATTAGCTAACTAGCATGAGGATGAACAAGGCAGTTTAATTAAAAACAAGCAGTATTTAAATCTTCTCCATTCACCGTAAATTGTTGTGGGATAAGTAGGACTACAGTGAAACATTCCATCCCTGGATTGAGGTATATTTGCAAACCTTTTAACTTGAAGTTCACAGAGATGCAAATATATTGGCATTTGGTAGTTTCAACTAGGAGGAGAGCATACCTTCTAGTCAAAATGTTTTGGCTAGTGATCAACCAGCTGTAGATATGGGAATGAAACAGTTGTAATGGAATTAAGTCATACAATTGTGTGGTGTTGTGTTGGGGGTATGCAGGCTCTCCCCTTTTAAGGACATACCCCGATGACGAAGCGGATTATGTTTTTCTCATCACTTCTTTTGATAGAGTTAAACTTTTTATCAGTATCACTGGGATTTCCATCTGTTATTACGACCAGTACTTTAGTTGCATCTGCGGTGGCGCCGGCAGCTTGGTTTTCAAAAATGTATTTCCTGAAAGAGATGTATACAAACAACAGTTCAAGCTATCTTTCTTACACCACAATCCCCTTTGATCATATTCCGAGTATTTGGTCAGAACTTTGAAAGTAAAACTGATTAATAATGATCAACTGTGACCTACAAGACAAAGTCTATCGCCTGATGTGTATTGGTTAGAAGACCCATGTGCTCTTCTTTCATAAGATTAGTCAAGGCTCTCCCCTCTTGGTAGTCATTGAAGTCGAAAACTGTCCTGGCTGTTGATGAGAACTGAACCGCTGCGAACTGTGGTTAAAAAAAATAGGAAAAGATAACTAATATTGATTTCATTCCATACTTTCCATGCAGCAACCTGGGTATAGCACATACACTCTTAGAATTAGTGGTGACTCGAGGAACCATGAAGATCCTCAAGGAACCCCTGGAGTTCCACAAGGAACCATCGCTAGTCAATGGGTCATATTTGCCCCTTCGGTTAGTTGAGGGGTTCTTGGAGGAACCTTTAATGGTTCAATGTAGCATTGGGTTCTTGGAGGAACCCTGGAGTGGAGGCGTGGCTTAGGAAGTGCGTGGCTTTAAGATACTGCATATACTTTTTAGGCCACCCGTTAGAGTAAATGTAATTCCTGTTAATCTGTTCTGCTGTATTGTCATCACGTGAAAGTTAAACACTGATAGTTTTGTAGCGTCAGTGAGGCTTACAGAAGTGTTCCTCAAGAGCATATGCTCTTCCAAAGTGGGAATAGTTGTCACTTTATTACTAAAATTGTATATGTAAAGAGAATTGTTATGTTATGTATCAATATTCAAGGATTTAGTTTTGCAGTGTAAAACTTAACATGATGAACAGGAATGACATTTGCGCTAATGGGTGGCCATGAAGTGCCTATCTGAAAGCCACGTCTACAATACTATGCTGCCACCACTTCAATATATTATTAAAAAGGTTCAAAATGTAACTCCTCCCATCAGAACCTTTACACAGGGGTTCCTCCAAGACCCGTGAACTGGAAAGGTTCCACCGGTGTGGCAACCCAAAAGGTTCTTCTAGGCACCTTTACTTCTAAGAGTGTAGATACACAGATGTATGTTCAGCATCCTCACAAGCATGATTCAAGTTATGAACTTTAAAAGGGAAGTTTACCTTGATTGAGGAATTTTTTAGGGTTGTCGTGATATTGTTTATGAAACCTTTGTTCTCTTCAAATTCTTTCTTTGTCATGCTTCCTGATCCGTCAAAGAGGAAAACGAGGTCCACTATTTTCTTCGTACATTCTGGAAGAGAAAGTAAATTAAATAAATGTATATGATGGATAACACTCACAACATTCTTCACATATTCAGAAATCCAGATCTTATCATTCACAATTCATATTTTGTGACCTAATCCTAATGTGATTTAGCATTACATTAATAAACAGTCAATATATACCTACAAATCTTGGGTTATTTTATTTATATCTACAAATGTGTTCCAATTTTGCTGTTATACCTTGGAAGGCAGGTGTGAAGTTAGAAGTGATCTGGAGCTGGCTGTTGAACTGATAGCAGATACTGTTCAGATAGGAGTTCCCATCGCACTCGTGTGCCAGGCCAGGGCTGCAGGCCTGAATGAGGATAATAAGTAATTGTAAATAAAATAAAATAATGGCTTGTCTGGTGGACCTCAGATGGCTTCAAAAGAGATTTACAGGAATTTGCCATGATAATTTTTAGATTGTTGAGCTATTGTTTTATGACTCAAGTGAAACAAGTAATTTATGTTTACACAGGCAGCCCAATTCTAATCTTTCTTTCCACTAATTGGTGGAGCTGATCTGATTGGTCAAAATTCCAATTAGTGAAAACAATATCAGAATTGGGCTGCCTATGTAAATGCTGCCAAACGCATGTATTACATATGTACAGTACACTCACATGGAGTATTTGACAACAAGAATATGATCAAATTAACTGTTTGGAGTTTATCTTACAGTGAACGTTGGAGGAGAAGTAGATTGTCCAGCCATAGACAGTCCAATGTACTTGATTGTGTCAGTTTCTGTTGGAAGGGAAAAGGTAGACTTGCAGAATCAACTAGTGTTTCTCATTTTCAAGATCTTGTTGACATTTCAACAATATTTTAAAGCTGACAAATATTGATTAGCCATGGTTACCGTGATAGGTGTTACATGTTCTTACAGTGAGGGGGAAAAGTATTTGATCCCCTGCTGATTTTGTACGTTTGCCCACTGACAAAGATATGATCAGTCTATAATTTCAATGGTAGGTTTATTTGAACAGTGAGAGACAGAATAACAACAACAAAAAATCCAGAAAAACGCAAGTCAAAAATGTTATAAATTGATTTGCATTTTAATGAGGGAAATATGTATTTGACCCCTCTGCAAAACATGACTTAAGTTCTCCCACTTAAAAAGATGAGAGAGGCCTGTAATTTTCGTCATAGGTACACGTCAACTATGACAGACAAAATGAGAGAGAAAAAATCCAGAAAATCACGTTGTAGGATTTTTTATGAATTTATTTGCAAATTATGGTGGAAAATAAGTATTTGGTCAATAACAAAAGTTTCTCAATACTTTGTTATATACCCTTTGTTGGCAATGACACAGGTCAAACGTTTTCTGTAAGTCTTCACAAGGTTTTCACACACTGTTGCTGGTATTTTGGCCCATTCCTCCATGCAGATCTCCTCTAGAGCAGTGATGTTTTGGGGCTGTCGCTGGGCAACACGGACTTTCAACTCCCTCCAAAGATTTTCTATGGGGTTGAGATCTGGAGACTGGCTAGGCCACTCCAGGACCTTGAAATGCTTCTTACGAAGCCACTCCTTCGTTGCCCGGGCGGTGTGTTTGGGATCATTGTCATGCTGAAAGACCCAGCCACGTTTCATCTTCAATGCCCTTGCTGATGGAAGGAAGTTTTCACTCAAAATCTCACGATACATGGCCCCATTCATTCTTTCCTTTACACGGATCAGTCGTCCTGGTCCCTTTGCAGAAAAACAGCCCCAAAGCATGATGTTTCCACCCCCATGCTTTACAGTAGGTATGGTGTTCTTTGGATGCAACTCAGCATTCTTTGTCCTCCAAACACGACGAGTTGAGTTTTTACCAAAAAGTTCTATTTTGGTTTCATCTGACCATATGACATTCTCCCAATCCTCTTCTGGATCATCCAAATGCACTCTAGCAAACTTCAGACGGGCCTGGACATGTACTGGCTTAAGCAGGGGGACACGTCTGGCACTGCAGGATTTGAGTCCCTGGCGGCGTAGTGTATTACTGATGGTAGGCTTTGTTACTTTGGTCCCAGCTCTCTGCAGGTCATTCACTAGGTCCCCCCGTGTGGTTCTGGGATTTTTGCTCACCGTTCTTGTGATCATTTTGACCCCACGGGGTGAGATCTTGCGTGGAGCCCCAGATCGAGGGAGATTATCAGTGGTCTTGTATGTCTTCCATTTCCTAATAATTGCTCCCACAGTTGATTTCTTCAAACCAAGCTGCTTACCTATTGCAGATTCAGTCTTCCCAGCCTGGTGCAGGTCTACAATTTTGTTTCTGGTGTCCTTTGACAGCTCTTTGGTCTTGGCCATAGTGGAGTTTGGAGTGTGACTGTTTGAGGTTGTGGACAGGTGTCTTTTATACTGATAACAAGTTCAAACATGTGCCATTAATACAGGTAACGAGTGGAGGACAGAGGAGCCTGTTAAAGAAGAAGTTACAGGTCTGTGAGAGCCAGAAATCTTGCTTGTTTGTAGGTGACCAAATACTTATTTTCCACCATCATTTGTAATTAGTTCTTGGTGGCAAAACCCTTGTTGGCAATCACAGAGGTCAGACGTTTCTTGTAGTTGGCCACCAGGTTTGCACACATCTCAGGAGGGATTTTGTTCCACTCCTCTTTGCAGATCTTCTCCAAGTCATTAAGGTTTCGAGGCTGACGTTTGGCAACTCGAACCTTCAGCTCCCTCCACATATTTTCTATGGGATTAAGGTCTGGAGACTGGCTAGGCCACTCCAGGACCTTAATGTGCTTCTTCTTGAGCCACTCCTTTGTTACCTTGGCCGTGTGTTTTGGGTCATTGTCATGCTGGAATACCCATCCACAACCCATTTTCAATGCCCTGACTGAGGGAAGGAGGTTCTCACCCAAGATTTGATGGTACATGGCCCCGTCCATCGTCCCTTTGATGCAGTGAAGTTGTCCTGTCCCCTTAGCAGAAAAACACCCCCAAAGCATAATGTTTCCACCTCCATGTTTGACGGTAGGGATGGTGTTCTTGGGGTCATAGGCAGCATCCCTCCTCCTCCAAACACGGCGAATTGAGTTGATGCCAAAGAGCTCAATTTTGGTCTCATCTGTCCACAACACTTTCACCCAGTTCTCCTCTGAATCATTCATATGTTCATTGGCAAACTTCAGACGGGCCTGTATATGTGCTTTCTTGAGCAGGGGGGGGACCTTGCGGGCGCTGCAGGATTTCAGTCCTTCACGGCGTAGTGTGTTACCAAATGTTTTCTTGGTGACTATGGTCCCAGCTGCCTTGAGATCATTGACAAGATCCTCCCGTGTAGTTCTGGGCTGATTCCTCACCGTTCTCATGATCATTGCAACTCCACAAGGTGAGATCTTGCACGGAGCCCCAGGCCGAGGGAGATTGACAGTTCTTTTGTGTTTCTTCCATTTGTGAATAATCGCACCAACTGTTGTCACCTTCTCACCAAGCTGCTTGGCAATGGTCTTGTAGCCCATTCCAGCCTTGTGTAGGTCTACAATCTTGTCCCTGACATCCTTGGAGAGCTCTTTGGTCTTGGCCAAGGTGGAGAGTTTGGAATCTGATTGATTGATTGCTTCTGTGGACAGGTGTCTTTTATACAGGTAACAAACTGAGATTAGGAGCACTCCCTTTAAGAGTGTGCTCCTAATCTCAGCTCGTTACCTGTATAAAAGACAGCTGGGAGCCAGAAATCTTTCTGATTGAGAGGGGGTCAAATACTTATTTCCCTCATTAAAATGCTAATCAATTTATAAAAAATTTTACATGTGTTTTTCTGGATTTTTTTGTTGTTATTCTGTCTCTCACTGTTCAAATAAACCTACCATTAAAATTATAGACTGATAAATTCACTGTATATTTCTTATAATTATTCATTTTGTTAAGGTAACCACCATTCTAAATTGCAGTCCAGTAAGTACAGTATAGTGTATCATCAACCTTCCATCTCTACCTTCAGGAGTGTAACAGTTTGTACAGTTTGTTCGGTCTTGAGCACATCTACAGATTCCACCAGATCCATTCTTCTGATGTGGCGCACTGACCATTACCCTGTGGGTGAGAAATTACAGCATAGTTTGGTCGATTAGATGAGACTGTATGACTTCTTATATATATGACAAACTTTAGATCAAGAGTGGTTGCATAACATTTGTGACAATGTGGTATATTACTTTTGTTTATCCATTTTCTATTGGTTACTAAGGTTACAATAACAACTGCATGGTGAAGGAGGAAGGCAGGATGTTATCAGAGGTGTGATATGATGAAACACAAGTTAGAATTTCCATTCCATCAATGTATGCATAACTAATACACTGATGCACATTAGTCATGTGCATTGGATGCAGCTCACATAATTTAAGAAACGTAATAAATGTTCAAGTATTGTAAATAAGAATATAATACGTTTATAAACACTTCTACATTCATGTGGATGCTACCATGATTACGATAGTCTTGAATGAATCATGAATAATGATGAATATCGTACCCCCAAGACATTCTAACCTCTCACCATTATAATAACAGGGGAGGTTAGCGTTTTTTAGGGGGTATGATATTTATGCCTCTGTAACTTTCTCACTCATCATTATTCACGATTCATTCAGGATTATCCGTAATCATGGTAGGATCCACATGAATGTAGAAGTGTTTAGAAACATAATCTATTCTTATTTACAATAAAAGTGACTCCAAATTGACACAATACATCATTCTAATAGGCACAAAATAATCTGAAACACAACCAAAACAAACAGCAAATGCATCCAACAAGTTTGTAGAGTCACAAGCTTGATGTAATCATTGCGTTTTAGGAATATGGGACCAAATACTAACATTTTGACAACTTTAATACACATAAGTGAATTTGTCCCAATACTTTTGGTCCCCAAAAATGGCGGGACCATGTACATAAAGTGCTGTAATTTCTAAATGGTTCACCAGATATGGATGAAAATACACTCAAGTTAATGCTGACAGTCTGCACGTTAACTTCACAGTCATTGTATCATTTCAAATCCAAAGTGCTGGAGCACAGAGCCAAAACAACAACAAATACGTTTGGAGCTCACTGTATATACAGAGCCCTATATTTTCTAAATACATTGCTATGGATATACAGTGGGCTCCAAAATTACTGGCACCCCTGACTGGCAATGCACAAACAATACAATATAATTACAGAGATAAACTCAAAATACCAACATGTGAGAAATACTGTACTATATTAATGTTCCAATGGAACCCACCAAATTAATAAATTAATTAATAAATTAATAATTTAATTAAAAATCAATGTCCTCCAAATCAATGTTTCACAATTAATGGCACCCTTAAAGATTATTGTAAATAACATCTACCAAAAATTAAACCACAAATTAAATTCCACTTATTTAAGTTTATCTAAGTCTTAAGGAACTATATTGAGCCATTACATCACTTCCTGTTTCACTAGGGTATAAAAATGAGGTAACACGCATGCAATATTCCTTTGTCATCCAACACCATGAAGAAAACAAAAGAACTGGCAGGACAAAAGAGACATGAAGGTCTACAGATGGTTGTAGACCTTCATAAATCTGGTAATGGCTACAAGAAGATCCACAAACAATTGAATATACCACTGAGCACTGTCAAGGCAATTATTTAAAAATGGAAAATATATGGAACAGTTGAAAACCTCACGGGTAGAGGACGCAAATGCATTTTGCCCCCCAGGATAGGGAGTAGGATGGTGAGAGAAGCAACAAAATCCCCAAGAATCACTGTGAAAGAATTGCAGGCCTTGGTGGCATCTTGTGGTCACAAGGTTTCAAAAAGCACCATCAGACGTCACCTCCACAAGCACAGGCTCTTTTGAAGGGTTGCCAGAAGAAAGCCCTTTCTGACCCCAAGACACAGACACAAGCGCTTGGAGTTTGCCAAATGTCATTTAAATTATGACTGGAAGAAGGTGAGACCAAAATTGAACGTTTTGGTCAGATACAGCATCGGCATGTTTGGCGTCGAAACAGAGATGCATACAAGGAGAGGCACCTCATACCCACGGTGAAATATGGTGGTGGATTAGTGATGTTTTGGGGCTGTTTTAATTCCAGAGGTCCAGGGGCACTGGATAAGATTGATGGCATAAAGAATTCCACCAAGTATCAGGCAATTTTGGCTGACAATCTGGTTGCCTCTGCCAGAAGGCTGGGACTTGGCCGTAGGTGGACTTTCCAACAAGACAATGACCCAAAACATACAGTGGGGGAAAAAAGTATTTAGTCAGCCACCAATTGTGCAAGTTCTCCCACTTAAAAAGATGAGAGAGGCCTGTAATTTTCATCATAGGTACACGTCAACTATGAAAAATAATTCCAGAAAATCACATTGTAGGATTTTTAATGAATTTATTTGCAAATTATGGTGGAAAATAAGTATTTGGTCAATAACAAAAGTTTCTCAATACTTTGTTATATACCCTTTGTTGGCAATGACACAGGTCAAACGTTTTCTGTAAGTCTTCACAAGGTTTTCACACACTGTTGCTGGTATTTTGGCCCATTCCTCCATGCAGATCTCCTCTAGAGCAGTGATGTTTTGGGGCTGTCGCTGGGCAACACGGACTTTCAACTCCCTCCAAAGATTTTCTATGGGGTTGAGATCTGGAGACTGGCTAGGCCACTCCAGGACCTTGAAATGCTTCTTACGAAGCCACTCCTTCGTTGCCCGGGCGGTGTGTTTGGAATCATTGTCATGCTGAAAGAACCAGCCACGTTTCATCTTCAATGCCCTTGCTGATGAAAGGAGGTTTTCACTCAAAATCTCACGATACATGGCCCCATTCATTCTTTCCTTTACACGGATCAGTCGTCCTGGTCCCTTTGCAGAAAAACAGCCCCAAAGCATGATGTTTCCACCCCCATGCTTCACAGTAGGTATGGTGTTCTTTGGATGCAACTCAGCATTCTTTGTCCTCCAAACACGACGAGTTGAGTTTTTACCAAAGAGTTCTATTTTGGTTTCATCTGACCATATGACATTCTCCCAATCCTCTTCTGGATCATCCAAATGCACTCTAGCAAACTTCAGACGGGCCTGGACATGTACTGGCTTAAGCAGGGGGACACGTCTGGCACTGCAGGATTTGAGTCCCTGGCGGCGTAGTGTGTTACTGATGGTAGGCTTTGTTACTTTGGTCCCAGCTCTCTGCAGGTCATTCACTAGGTCCCCCCGTGTGGTTCTGGGATTTTTGCTCACCGTTCTTGTGATCATTTTGACCCCACGGGGTGAGATCTTGCTTCCCCAGATCGAGGGAGATTATCAGTGGTCTTGTATGTCTTCCATTTCCTAATAATTGCTCCCACAGTTGATTTCTTCAAACCAAGCTGCATACCTATTGCATATTCAGTCTTCCCAGCCTGGTGCAGGTCTACAATTTTGTTTCTGGTGTCCTTTGACAGCTATTTGGTCTTGGCCATAGTGGAGTTTGGAGTGTGACTGTTTGAGGTTGTGGACAGGTGTCTTTTATACTGATAACAAGTTCAAACAGGTGCCATTAATACAGGTAACGAGTGGAGGACAGAGGAGCCTCTTAAAGAAGAAGTTACAGGTCTGTGGGAGCCAGAAATCTTGCTTATTTGTAGGTGACCAAATACTTATTTTCCACCATAATTTGCAAATAAATAAAATAAAAATCCTACAATGTGATTTTCTGGATTTTTTTTTCCTCAATTTGTCTGTCATAGTTGACGTGTACCTATGATGAAAATTACAGGCCTCTCTCATCTTTTTAAGTGGGAGAACTTGTACAATTGGTGGCTTCTCCGGCATAACAGCGCCGGAGAAGATGGCTGCCGTTTTACAGCCCTCTAACCAACCCTCTAACCAATTGTACTATTATGTGTGTTTTTCCGCGTTATTTGTAATTTATTTTGTACATAATGTTTCTGCCATCGTCTCTTATAACCAAAAAGAGCTTCTGGATATCAGGACAGCGATTACTCACCTCGCATTGGACAAAGATTTTTTCTTCAACGAGGCGGCCGCGAAGGATATCATACAGACACCCGACAATGCCCAAATCCCCGTCATTCGCGTGAGGAAGAGACGGAGATATCGCGGACGCAGATCCGGGTGCCTTGTAAGGATCCGACGGCGAGCGAGTAAACTGCCTCTTCCATCAATCCTATTAGCCAACGTTCAATCTTTTGAGAATAAAATGGACGATTTAAGATTACGGTTATCCTACCAACGGGACATTAAAAACTGTAATATCTTATGTTTCACGGAGTCGTGGCTGAACGACAACAATGATAACATTCAGCTAGCAGGCTATACGCTACATCGGCAGGACAGAACGGCTGACTCTGGTAAGACAAGGGGTGGCGGTCTGTGTATATTTGTAAACAACAGCTGGTGCACAAAATCAAATACTAAGGAAGTCTCGAGGTTTTGCTCGCCTGAGGTAGAGTATCTTATGATAAGCTGTAGACCACACTATTTACCAAGAGAGTTTTCATCTATATTTTTCATAGCTGTCTATTTACCACCACAAACCAATGCTGGCATTAAGATTGCACTGAATGAGTTGTACAAGGCCATTAATCAACAGGAAAACGCTCATCCAGATGCAGCGCTCCTAGTGGCCGGGGACTTTAATGCAGGGAAACTTAAATCCGTTCTACATAATTTCTACCAGCATGTTAAATGTGCAACCAGAGGGAAAAAAACTCTAGACCACCTTTACTCCACACACAGAGACGCATACAAAGCTCTCCCTCGCCCTCCATTTGGCAAATCTGAGCATAACTCTATCCTCCTGATTCCTGCTTATAAGCAAAAACTGAAGCAGGAAGCACCAGTGATTCGGTTAATAAAAAAGTGGTCAGATGACGCAGATGCTAAGCTACAGGACTGTTTTGCTAGCACAGATTGGAACATGTTCCGGGATTCTTCAGACAGCATTGAGGAGTACACCACATCAGTCACTGGCTTCATCAATAAGTGCATCGATGATGTCGTCCCCACAGTGACCGTACGTACATACCCCAACCAGAAGCCATGGATTACAGGAAACATCCGCACTGAGCTAAAGGGTAGAGCTGCCGCTTTCAAGGAACGGGACTCTAACCCGGACGCTTATAAGAAATCCCGCTATGACCTCCGACGAACCATCAAACAGGCAAAGAGTCAATACAGGTCTAAGATTGAATCATACTACACTGGCTCTGACGCTCGTCGGATGTGGCAGGGCTTGAAAACTATTACAGACTACAAAGGGAAGCACAGCCGCGAGCTGCCCAGTGACACAAGCCTACCAGACGAGCTAAACCACTTCTATGCTCGCTTCGAGGCAAGCAACACTGAAGCATGCATGAGAGCACCAGCTGTTCCGGATGACTATGTGATCACGCTCTCCGTAGCCGATGTGAGTAAGACTTTTAAGCAGGTCAACATTCACAAGGCCGCAGGGCCAGACGGATTACCAGGACGTGTACTCCGAGCATGTGCTGACCAACTGGCAAGTGTCTTCACTGACATTTTCAACATGTCCCTGACTGAGTCTGTAATACCAACATGTTTCAAGCAGACCACCATAGTCCCCGTGCCCAAGAACTCTAAGATAACCTGCCTAAATGACTACCGACCCGTAGCACTGACGTCTGTAGCCATGAAGTGCTTTGAAAGACTGGTCATGGCTCACATCAACAGCATAATCCCAGAAACCCTAGACCCACTCCAATTTGCATACCGCCCCAACAGATCCACAGATGATGCAATCTCTATCGCACTCCACACTGCCCTTTCCCACCTTGACAAGAGGAACACCTACGTGAGAATGCTATTCATTGACTACAGCTCAGCATTCAACACCATAGTGCCCTCTAAGCTCATCACTAAGCTAAGGATCCTGGGACTAAACACCTCCCTCTGCAACTGGATCCTGGACTTCCTGACGGGCCGCCCCCAGGTGGTAAGGGTAGGTAACAACACATCTGCCACACTGATCCTCAACACGGGGGCCCCTCAGGGGTGCGTGCTCAGTCCCCTCCTGTACTCTCTGTTCACCCATGACTGCATGGCCAGGCACGACTCCAACACCATCATTAAGTTTGCCGACGACACAACAGTGGTAGGCCTGATCACCGACAACGATGAGACAGCCTATAGGGAGGAAGGTCAGAGATCTGGCCGTGTGGTGCCAGGACAACAACCTCTCCCTCAACATGACCAAGACAAAGGAGATGATTGTGGACTACAGGAAAAAAAAGAGGACTGAGCACGCCCCCATTCTCATCGACGGGGCTGTAGTGGAACAGGTTGAGAGCTTCAAGTTCCTTGGTGTCCACATCACCAACGAACTATCATGGTCCAAACACACCAAGACAGTCGTGAAGAGGGCACGACAAAGCCTATTCCCCCTCAGGAGACTAAAAAGATTTGGCATGGGTCCTCAGATCCTCAAAAAAATCTACAGCTGCACCATCGAGAGCATCCTGACTGGTTGCATCACCGCCTGGTATGGCAACTGCTTGGCCTCCGACCGCAAGGCACTACAGAGGGTAGTGCGTACGGCCCAGTACATCACTGGGGCAAAGCTTCCTGCCATCCAGGACCTCTATCCCAGGCGGTGTCAGAGGAAGGCCCTCAAAATTGTCAAAGACTACAGCCACCCTAGTCATAGACTGTTCTCTCTGCTACCGCACGGCAAGCGGTACCGGAGTGCCAAGTCTAGGTCCAAAAGACTTCTCAACAGCTTCTACCCCCAAGCCATAAGACTCCTGAACAGCTAATCATGGCTACCCGGACTATTTGCACTGCCCCCCCCCCACCCCATCCTTTTTACGCTGCTGCTACTCTGTTAAGTATTTATGCATAGTCACTTTAACTCTACCCACATGTACATATTACCTCAACTACCTCAACTAGCCGGTGCCCCCGCACATTGACTCTGCAACGGTACCCCCCTGTATATATAGCCTCCCTACTGTCACTTTATTTTACTTCTGCTCTTTTTTTCTCAACACTTTTTTTGTTGTTGTTTTATTCTTACTTTTTTTGTTTAAAATAAATGCACTGTTGGTTAAGGGCTGTAAGTAAGCATTTCACTGTAATGTCTGCACCTGTTGTATTCGGCGCATGTGACCAATAAAATTTGATTTGATTTGATTTGACTAAATACTTTTTTTTCCCACTGTACCTCAAGATCCACACAGAAATGGTTATGTGACAACAAAATCAATGTTCTGCCATGGCCATCTCAGTCGCCTCAATCCAATCGAAACTCTGTGGGCTGAGTTGTTGAGGGGAGTTGATAAGCGCAAACCCAAGAATGTGAAGGATCTTGAAAGGATCTGCATAGAGGAATGGTCCAAAATCCCTCCAAATGTGTTCCTTAAACTTGTCAAATGTTACAGGAATAGACTCCATGCTGTTATCTTAGCCAGAGGTAGTAGTAAATGAGGAGTGCCAATAATAATGAAACCTTGATTTTGGTGATATTTATTTTGTATTAAATAATTGTATGATTTTGGTTGGTTCCATTGAAACATTAATAAAGTACAGTATTTCTCACATGTTGGTATTTTGAGTTTCTCTATAATTATATTGTTTATATTTTTTAAAGTATGGTTTGTGCATTGCCAGTCAGGGTTGGCAGTAATTTTGGAGCCCACTGTATATAGTGCACGTTTGCAGACACAGGTGCATTGTTCTGGTAATTTTTGTTTCCTCAGGTGTGTGATACTGTGTTGCAGATGAAGTTTGTAACATAATACTAACCAGAACCACACATTTTTCACTATGATGATAACAATAACACTTGCCCTTTCTCCTTGCCAGAAATGAATTGCAGGACTTTGTAACCAAATAAATCTTGTTCCTCCCCTTTGTAGATTTGTGGGGGGTTTTCATCAATGTTGAAAGCCATTGAAGAGACAGCTGGCAAAGAAAAGAAAAGAGTGGTAGAATTGGATGACAGACAACTATTTGGGTTAGATGCATAAAAATGATATTCGTAAATATTTGTTGTCTAGTGGGCCTAATCCACGATGTACAATAGAATACATAATTTAATCAGCATTTCACACAAATCTTAGATATCCGATCTTCCCTACAACACGAGAAATTGGCATAATTTAATATTTAATATTTTAGATCATGGTCAGTGAAAACCAGTGCCGGCGCTATGGAGGCATTGGGGGGGCAATGCCTCCCTAAATTGACTTTTCTGCCCACCAAAAAACATTCTATCAACATTTTGATATATTTATTTATTGATATAAATATTACTACACCAGAGCTACATGCTCTAGCCAGTCAAACTTCCCGCCAGTTCATTGCCAACCCTCTAGCCTATTTTATATTCAGCAAGCAAGAGCAAGTTGCTTCTCCCTATTAGTTAAAAAAAATAAGTGACTGCCCTCAAAAGTTAAAGCAGCTGTAACATTGTAAATAACTTCTTTATGACCTTTTCCACTATGAAAAATGTGTGATAAATGGCCAATAGTTAATGCTTATCATTGACTGTCTCAAAAACATGAATAGACAATAAGGTGGTATCTAGGTTTAAAAGGTTAAATGGCCTATTGTCTCAAAATCAAAAAAGTGGAAGTCAGTTACCGTTATTGATGTGAAACCACAAGTAAAGATATTGTATGACTAGTTCTGTTTTCTAGAAGGCCCCCAAAAAATTACAATGGAGCATCTAACAAGTCAATTACATTTAGAGCATTAGATTTTTATTTTTATTGGGATTCCCATTAGCCGACAGCAATGGCAACATTAGGCACCTTTCTTTTACATAAATTATCCTTGTGCAAGTTAAGCATCCATTTTGAAAACATACCCTCTTCTACTTCAAGTTTGCCTATTGATTACAATGTTGTGAACAGTTCAACATATTTGAGTATTTTAGATTCAGTCAGGAATAGCAACAAAAAAAACTAAACTGTAATTTAAAATATGTAGTACTGAAAGTAATTTACTTTTTTTTTACAAGTTGAGCTGATGTTTTGTCCAACCCCTTTAATATGTAATTGAATATTAAGCTGAGGTCAGTGCTTACCAATGGCTGCCATGCAGGTGAGCAGGGAGAGGGTTCCCTGCCCAGACATCTTCTCCTTCTCTTTGTCCACTAGCATGCAGTGAGGGGGAAAATATTGCAACACTCAACCTTTGCAAACGAAACGTACTTGTCTTCCTGCACTTTGTTTCCTGTGTGCCTCTTCTTATAAGAGGGCGTCTCCACCACCAAAAGTAGCTGCGGTAGTTCACTATCATTTGGGTGAGAATGTGGATGTACATGTTTTTTGCAATTTCCTCTTTTGCATGATTGGTATTGGTACATTGCCCCACCCTCTTCTTTTACACTTTCCCAGTGAGAATACCTTATAAGTATCAAATGTGAGAAACCCGGCAAGAAAGGAGGTACAATGGGGGAAAAAAGTATTTAGTCAGCCACCAATTGTGCAAGTTCTCCCACTTAAAAAGATGAGAGAGGCCTGTAATTTTCATCATAGGTACACGTAAACTATGACAGACAAATTGAGAAAAAAAATCCAGAAAATCACATTGTAGGATTTTTAATGAATTTATTTGCAAATTATGGTGGAAAATAAGTATTTGGTCACCTACAAACAAGCAAGATTTCTGGCTCTCACAGACCTGTAACTTCTTCTTTAAGAGGCTCCTCTGTCCTCCACTCGTTACCTGTATTAATGGCACCTGTTTGAACTTGTTATCCTTTACACAGATCAGTCGTCCTGGTCCCTTTACAGAAAAACAGCCCCAAAGCATGATGTTTCCACCCCCATGCTTCACAGTAGGTATGGTGTTCTTTGGATGCAACTCAGCATTCTTTGTCCTCCAAACACGACGAGTTGAGTTTTTACCAAAAAGTTCTATTTTGGTTTCATCTGACCATATGACATTCTCCCAATCCTCTTCTGGATCATCCAAATGCACTCTAGCAAACTTCAGACGGGCCTGGACATGTACTGGCTTAAGCAGGGGGACACGTCTGGCACTGCAGGATTTGAGTCCCTGGCGGCGTAGTGTGTTACTGATGGTAGGCTTTGTTACTTTGGTCCCAGCTCTCTGCAGGTCATTCACTAGGTCCCCCCGTGTGGTTCTGGGATTTTTGCTCACCGTTCTTGTGATCATTTTGACCCCACGGCGTGAGATCTTGCGTGGAGCCCCAGATCGAGGGAGATTATCAGTGGTCTTGTATGTCTTCCATTTCCTAATAATTGCTCCCACAGTTGATTTCTTCAAACCAAGCTGCTTACCTATTGCAGATTCAGTCTTCCCAGCCTGGTGCAGGTCTACAATTTTGTTTCTGGTGTCCTTTGACAGCTCTTTGGTCTTGGCAATAGTGGAGTTTGGAGTGTGACTGTTTGAGGTTGTGGACAGGTGTATTTTATACTGATAACAAGTTCAAACAGGTGCCATTAATACAGGTAACGAGTGGAGGACAGAGGAGCCTCTTAAAGAAGAAGTTACAGGTCTGTGAGAGCCAGAAATCTTGCTTGTTTGTAGGTGACCAAATACTTATTTTCCACCATAATTTGCAAATAAATTCATAAAAAATCCTACAATGTGATTTTCAGGATTTTTTTTTCTCAATTTGTCTGTCATAGTTGACATGTACCTATGATAAAAAATAACAGGCCTCTCTCATATTTTTAAGTGGGAGAACTTGCACAATTGGTGGCTGACTAAATACTTTTTTCCCCCACTGTAAGTAGACTGTGGCAGCTCAGCACACAAATGGTCTGTGGGAGGAAGGGTTTAGGTACTTTCTGTTAACCACAATGCTCTATGGCTATGCAGTGACATCAGTTTGACACTTGCGTGTACAGTGGGAAATGTTACAATAGAGACATTGGTCACAATATGACTCCCTGTCAAAATAAGGTTAAATATCAAATAGAAGAAATCTTACATTAGTGTTGGGAACCCCCTGTGTGTTTGGACTGTCAGTGCACAACTTATTGCAGTGTGTTGCAGAGTGCAAAGTTCAGAGGATGTCCTCTGGGGATTGCAACATTTCCGTTCTGTTTTGAACTATCTACACACCATCTAGAAGTTTTTGTTTGTGTTGTCTCTTTCTTCCTGCCTCCTCTTCTACCCTATCCCAGCTAATTTGTTGCTTTTACAGTGGGGGAAAAAAGTATTTAGTCAGCCACCAATTGTGCAAGTTCTCCCACTTAAAAAGATGAGAGAGGCCTGTAATTTTCATCATAGGTACACGTCAACTATGACAGACAAAATGAGGGGAAAAAATCCAGAAAATCACATTGTAGGATTTTTTATGAATTTATTTGCAAATTATGGTGGAAAATAAGTATTTGGTCAATAACAAAAGTTTCTCAATACTTTGTTATATACCCTTTGTTGGCAATGACACAGGTCAAACAAGTCTTCACAAGGTTTTCACACACTGTTGCTGGTATTTTGGCCCATTCCTCCATGCAGATCTCCTCTAGAGCAGTGATGTTTTGGGGCTGTCGCTGGGCAACACGGACTTTCAACTCCCTCCAAATATTTTCTATGGGGTTGAGATCTAGAGACTGGCTAGGCCACTCCAGGACCTTGAAATGCTTCTTACGAAGCCACTCCTTCGTTGCCCGGGCAGTGTGTTTGGGATCATTGTCATGCTGAAAGACCCAGCCACATTTCATATTCAATGCCCTTGCTGATGGAAGGAGGTTTTCACTCAAAATCTCACGATACATGGCCCCATTCATTCTTTCCTTTACACGGATCAGTCGTCCTGGTCCCTTTGCAGAAAAACAGCCCCAAAGCATGATGTTTCCACCCCCATGCTTCACAGTAGGTATGGTGTTCTTTGGATGCAACTCAGCATTCTTTGTCACCCAAATAGTTTTTACCAAAAAGTTATATTTTGGTTTCATCTGACCATATGACATTCTCCCAATCCTCTTCTGGATCATCCAAATGCACTCTAGCAAACTTCAGACGGGCCTGGACATGTACTGGCTTAAGCAGGGGGACACGTCTGCACTGCAGGATTTGAGTCCCTGGCGGCGTAGTGTGTTACTGTTGGTGGGCTTTGTTACTTTGGTCCCAGCTCTCTGCAGGTCATTCACTAGGTCCCCCCGTGTGGTTCTGGGATTTTTGCTCACCGTTCTTGTGATCATTTTGACCCCACGGGGTGAGATCTTGCGTGGAGCCCCAGATCGAGGGAGATTATCAGTGGTCTTGTATGTCTTCCATTTCCTAATAATTGCTCCCACAGTTGATTTCTCCAAACCAAGCTGCTTACCTATTGCAGATTCAGACTTCCCAGCCTGGTGCAGGTCTACAATTGTGTTTCTGGTGTCCTTTGACAGCTCTTTGGTCTTGGCCATAGTGGAGTTTGGAGTGTGACTGTTTGAGGTTGTGGACATGTGTCTTTTATACTGATAACAAGTTCAAACAGGTGTCATTAATACAGGTAACGAGTGGAGGACAGAGGAGCCTCTTAAAGAAGAAGTTACAGGTCTGTGAGAGCCAGACATATTGCTTGTTTGTAGGTGACCAAATACTTATTGTCCACCATAATTTGCAAATAAATTCATTAAAAATCCTACAATGTGATTTTCTGGAAATGTTTTTCTCAATTTGTCTGTCATAGTTGATGTGTACCTATGATGAAAATTACAGGCCTCTCTCATCTTTTTAAGTGGGAGAACTTGCACAATTGGTGGCTGACTAAATACTTTTTTTCCCCACTGTATGTGTTGGTTTTCCTTATATTTACTTATTGTAGCGTCTTTGGGTTTTAGAAAAGCACTATAGAATCATATGTATTAAACAAAAAGCCTAATTTCTGCAAATTATTAATTGCAGAACTGTCGTTTTATTTAGGCCTACATCCTTGCCACTGGTTTAAAACCCTCTTCCTGGAGATCTACCGTCCTGTGGGTTTTCAGTCCAACCCTAATTTAACACACCGGATTCTACTTATTAGCTGCTCGACAAAACGTTAACTAGCTGAATCAGATATGCTAAATTAGGGTTGGACTGAAAACCTACAGGACGGTAGATCTCCAGGAAGAGGGTTGGGCAGCACTGCTCTAGAGGCTATTGACGCTCTGATGCGTCAATCTAAGTAACATAATAAAAAAATCCCCATAACAATCAGTCAGTTTAAGCTAGAGAGATCTGTGTTTTTTTTTGCATGGGCTGTGTCTCAATCTACCGCATCCGCCAATGGCGGCCTTCTGCATCTATGGTGGAAGGTGGCCGAGCTACAGCGTTTTTTGTCAGACCATGAGACGTCCCGAAAATTGGTCGACTGTAGCATCCGAACGGTTTGGTTAGTATGACCACTCCATGGAAAGATGAGACTCTATGACCCCCACAAGTGTCAGGGGACTCATCTGAAGGTACCAGTTTAAAATATGAATGGAAGTATGGAGGTAGTTTTGTGCCTACCCAAAAAAAAGGGTTCAAATGTGTACAAAATATATATATACAGTGGGGAGAACAAGTATTTGATACACTGCCGATTTTGCAGGTTTTCCTACTTACAAAGCATGTAGAGGTCTGTAATTTTTATCATAGGTACACTTCAACTGTCCAACAAAAATCCAGAAAATCACATTGTATGATTTTTAAGTAATTAATTTGCATTTTATTGCATGACATAAGTATTTGATCACCTACCAACCATTAAGAATTCCAGCTCTCACAGACCTGTTCGTTTTTTTTCTAAGAAGCCTTCCTGTTCTCCACTCATTAACTGTATTAACTGCACCTGTTTGAACTGGTTACCTGTATAAAAGACACCTGTCCACACACTCAATCAAACAGACTCCAACCTCTCCACAATGGCCAAGACCAGAGAGCTGTGTAAGGACATCAGGGATAAAATTGTAGACCTGCACAAGGCTGGGATGGGCTACAGGACAATAGGCAAGCAGCTTGGTGAGAAGGCAACAACTGTTGGCACAATTATTAGAAAATGGAAGAAGTTCAAGATGATGGTCAATCACCCTCGGTCTGGGGCTCCATGCAAGATCTCACCTCGTGGGGCATCAATGATCATGAGGAAGGTGAGGGATCAGCCCAGAACTACACGGCAGGACCTGGTCAATGACCTGAAGAGAGCAGGGACCACAGTCTCAAAGAAAACCATTAGTAACACACTACGCCGTCATGGATTAAAATCCTGCAGCGCACGCAAGGTCCCCCTGCTCAAGCCAGCGCATGTCCAGGCCCGTCTGAAGTTTGCCAATGACCATCTGGATGATCCAGAGGAGGAATGGGAGAAGGTCATGTGGTCTGATGAGACAAAA